ATATATATACATATGTATGTATGTATGTATATATATATATATACATATGTATGTATGTATATATATATATGTATGTATATATATATATATACATATGTGTATAAGTATTCGCTGCACCACTGTTTATATGAATACAGCACTGAGAATTTTGTTTTAGCTAGAGTAATTTAACACAATGTACACAGTTTGTGTTCTTGGATGCAAATGCTGTAAACCTTTATTGTAATCCATAGGGCAATGCTTATTATTATCACATTTGACCATTGACCATATTGAGCTTGAGCAATCAAACAAAGGATATAAAAACCACTGTGTTGAAAATTCATCACAATAGCAGGTTGTAGCTCTGCCTGAAAAATCTAAAACCTCTTTTTTCAGGTTTTTGGAAAAGACTTTCTTGTTGATTTATCACAAAGCAAAACAATAGCTATAACTTGATACCCATATAAGTGGTCTTAACGTGGGAGCAAAAGCACAGAAAATCAAACAGAAATGTAATAAGTATAGATGGTTTGTCTTATGTCCTCTTTTTATCAAAAATATTGTCTTTGGGTGACATCCAACTTTTCTCATAGCCACTGCCAAAATCTGACTCTTCCAAACCTCAAGTATTCTCAAGTGGACTTAGAGTTGTTTTGGAAAAATAGTGCAGAGAGAGAGCAAAGTGGAGTAGTTCCACATTGTAATTATGCATTCAGATACTGAGTGAGCCTGCATTTCTCTACCCGGTACACAAATCTCATCCTCAAAAAACCTATCATCTCTCAAAGCGTTCTAGGATGAACTCCTCTCCAACCTCATTTGCATTGATATGAAATTTGGACAAAAAACGATAAAGGGGGCACCCTTGGGTGATTATGGGGTCACTAGCCAACCGTCACCACGGCCAAGAAAAGAAGCAGCGCATCGGATGAAAACAGGACTCAGACTAGGGCTCATTGTGTCTGCTATCTGTTGCTACACAATGAGCCATCTCATTCTTTGGAAAGGGTGTCAGGAGTTCAGCCTTTATCACCGTGACCTGCATTTGACCTCACAGAAGGGTAGAGATGCAGCTGAAGAGTCCTCGTCAAAGCTGTGGAGACAGAAACACACCCCCGGGTGCTTCTATTAGGCTCATCACTCAGGAGGAGACACATACTCACACACACGACACACATATACCTAAATATACGTACACTTCATAGAAGAGTAATGCTGGGAATACTATGAAGAAACATCTAAAACATGTCAACCCACCCTCCTCTGCTGACGCTGTATGATGGGCAGATAGAGAGTTTAAGTAAACATGCAGCGTTATGAGCCCCCTGACAACAGTGTTTATTTTTTTTCTGACAAGAGGTGAAGGAGAGGATGAAGAAGGGAGTCGAGTTAAGACTGACAGGATTTCTGCCATGTCTTCAGTTGGAGAGCAGGTTGGGTTGGATGTTCGTGAAGTCCAAGGTCAAATGACAGTCATTTTGGTTGACAAACATCTTCTCACATGCACAACTAACAGAAAGGGCATGTGGCCACTGGGCCATTACACATATAGACACTGTTGCACAATGCTTTTAACATCGGTTGATTGTGACTGCATGCCTTTGCCATATCATAATATATATCAGTAGGGCTGGTAAGTTCCCATACAACAATGATAAAATAGCTCACATAAAAGAAATTCAACTTCTCATAAAGTCAAATGTCTAAACACAAGAATTGTTTTGTTTTTCTGGCTCTGCTCGTATCAACTTGTTTTTAACAGCAGCAGGCAGCTTTTTCATATAAACCCATTGTATGCTATCTGCTCAGCACCAAACAGACAGACAATGTTAGTGAGCTTGGGAAAATGTTGTTGCTAATGAGCTAGATATTTCCCTCAGGAGTTGGTGCACACTAAAACCAAACTACAAGGATTGTGAATATTAGACTAAATTGAACTAAAGTGGCTATAAAAAACTCTAAATGAATGCTGGTGTGGCTTGGTTTGCCAACATGTTTGCCGTTCCAACTGTGTAATACAGTAGTATGTCAATGTTATGGCCCCGAGTGGCCCAAAAAAATCTGGGATTGCAGCTTTAATCAAGAATTGTCTAATTAAGACTTAAGTTTGTGTATAATTCCTCGTCCAGTGCTGTACGCACACACAGCTCCACCATCATCATCACAGGATCACACAGTCATTATCATCCTCATCACTGTCGTCATCTTAGCTGTCATCAGTTGAACCACTAATTTTTTGTCAGTATGAATTACCCAGATCTCAACCTAACCCCAGCATTATAAAGTGTTATTCTTCCATATAGGCAAGAACCCCGCCCCACCCACCCACACACACTCATACTCACACATGAGTCCTCCACAAGGGAAACACTCTTGTTTGATTTCCACTGGTTTCGGAACAGATTAAACACCAGTGCTCAGGTCTTGGGTCAGCACCGCCGCTCATACTGTACAAACATTCCACATCCGTCTGAGGGCAGGGCGGACCTGCTGTAAGTCAGAGAGGGTGGAAAACATTTACAGTCACGTCATTTTGGCGCCCAGCAGGAGCTTATGGATACCCACACGTCAGCTTCACCCTCACATACATACATATGCACAGACTCTGGAGTTTAGGAAGACACATTTTGGTGTCAGTGGTGGTGTGAATTGATGACTCTTCCTTTGTGATCAGATAGGTTAGTGATTGGTGTATTGTTCGATATTATCTGAGCTGTTTTACTACTTTTGATCAACTCCTGTCCAGAGCTGTGGTGAAGGTGAGCCAGTGAGAGATGAACTATACCAGCAGCTACTGACAACAACACGTGGCTGTTTGCAACTGTTTTAGTTTTACACCTCACATCCCTTCAGTCTCTCTGTTAATATGTTAAAGTCTTCTATTTCTTACTTGGACTAAGGTTTCGTCACTGCACTCATTTTTCTACCTTTAATGTTAGTTAAACGTTTTTCATCATTGTGTTGTGTATTTTATGTATTCTTGTGTGCATGCTGTACAGTCAAAACAGTCTGTCATAGTTTTTGTTTTATTCTCATTCTAACTTTCTGTCTTCTATCTAATTATTGTGTTCTTTGTCTTCTGTTGTGTTGGTCCTTTGTTTCTCTTTCCTCTCCTTTTCACCTCACTTCACATTATATGTGCGATATGTGAGAAAGACATCTGTGTGTTGGATGTGGTTGTGTGTGGGTTCGTGTTTGTAAGTGCACATCTCGCTGTTAACTCTTGGGTGAGCATGTGCTCATAATGTTGTGTGATGTTATGTGTTTATATGTTTCTACCTCTATATGTGTGTGCAGTATGTATGTCAGCCACCTGTGGAGATAAGCAGATTACAGCACCTTTGCTGGCTTCTCTTACACAGGAAGTGGATAGCTGTGGTTCCAGCATCAAAAACAATTTGCCACATGAAACAACTTTTGTTCTGCCAGTTGTACCTTTTTATCCTTCAGCATTTCTAGAATTTAGAGAATCTTCTTTCTTTTTTATCATAATGCATTTCTAAAACAAAAAGTGAAATCTTACGTTTGCATAGTTTTTTATTTCTTTGAAGTTTATTTATTTTAAAGGGACAATGCACATTAATTAACAAAAGGACTTAAGTCCACTATGTAAATGTGCCAGATTTAGCCATACAAGCTTATTTTCATCTGCAGTTCCTGGCAGGTTGATGTCATATCAAAAACATTAAAAGAAAAAATACAAAAGCACGTAAGCAAAAACAAAAAGCACATAAGCGTAGATAAAATCACATAAACACAGAGTGCATAAGCACAGAAACGCAAAAAAGCACAGAGTACATAAACACTGACGAAACCACATAAGCACAGATAAAAGCACAGAAGGACAAACAATAGCAACACAATGGCTGTATTAATGTCTCCTATATGTCATAACCATATGACACATTAAGGACAACTGCTTAAGTGTTTCTACTGACTGCAATGTGGTCCTACTTGTCTGTGTTCAGCTGGTCAAACAGTAGTCCATGTGTGAGAGAATCACTGTACAACTTTGAGGCCTTCATAGTTAGATTGTCCCTAATGTCTCTATAATTTGCCGGATTGAATTTGATTCTGTTCACAACTTTTTAAACTTGTTGTTTGTTGTGTATCTATTATGATGTCTAAATATTTTATATTACATGTAAATATATGATCGTGTCATCAGCATACATCCGACAAATTACATCTAACAGACTTGTCAAGATGTAACAAATAACAGGGGACCCAAAGTTGAACCTTGAGGTACACCAACATAATTATCAATTATATCTGAGGGTTTTATGGTCTACACGAACACATTGTTTTCTATCTGTATGGTATGATTTTAATCATCTGATTACATTGAGTAAAAAAATTAACTTTGATAGCTTGATAATTAGAACCTCATGATTAACTATAATAAAGGCTTTCTTTAAAGCAAGGAAGACAGCCCCCACTATACCTCCCTGGTCTAATTTAGCCTTAATGTTTAAAAAAAAACCAAACAAAAAACAGTTGGTTTCAGTGGAATTGTGTTTTTGAAATCCAAATTGCATAAAATGCAATGAGAAAGACCTAGCATTTACATGAGATATTATCTGTTCAGAGAATTCTTGATACTGCTGGAAGGGTACTGATGGGTCTATAATTACTAACGACCATGTGGTCGCCCGATTTAAACACTGGTGTAATTGTTGCAGTTTTTCAAGCACCTGGAAACACTCCTATTGGACCAGTTCATAATTTTTGCAATGGGAGGAATGAGCTTGAATAACTAAGAGAGGAAAATAATTGTGCACACTTTGAAGTTGGTCACTTTTCTAAAAGTCAGGATGGGAGCATCAGTATTTAAAGGTTTTTATAGAATCAATGAAATAAGTATTAAATGCTGTCACCACTTTACTTGAATCATGGATCACATTTCCCTCTATATTTGGTTCTATTTTTTTTATCAATGGTATCAGATTTCTCTGTAATTTTCTTTAAATTCTGCCAGATTTCTTTAGCATTCCCATTTGCTTCACTAATAGCATTAATGAAGAATGTTGCTTTTGACTTTCTGAGCTCTTTCACAACCATATTTCTCAGTGAAGTAAATAGAGGCCTCTCATGTTCCACCTTGTTCCTGAGAGCCATCTTGAGCGCATGGTCCCTTTGTTTAATGAGTGACTGTATTTTTTTCATTTGACCATAGTAGATAATCTCTTTGGTCTGGTTTGCATATCACTTTCCTCATTAAACTGTGTTTTTTATTCACCCATTAATGAATTACAGTTACCATCAACACTTTTACTTATGAGATGCTCATTACAGTTGATTTCCTTAATTACATTTTCAAGATTGCTTAGCTGACTATTTTATACTGTTCTAGCTTCTTATGGGCTGATAGATTAAATCTCCTTTCTTACAATCAAAATCATATTGTGGTCAGATTAACCTGTAACCAGATTGTAAGATATCTTTATTCTTTATGGTCTGTTATTGAAGGCCAAGTTTATCTGAGGAATTAGTAATCCTAGTAGGTCTTAAAAATGTAACTAAAATGTTAATTTAATTCTTTCTTTTTAGCTTTTTCATTCCAGTTTATGTTAAAATTTCCCAATACAATCACTGTTAGTATCACTCTTTAAGAAGGCTGTTCAGCTTATCATAAAACAATTTTTTTGCAGATGGTGGTCTATAGATCCTAATCATAGTGAATGACATTTGGGCTAAGAGAGTTAATTTGAGAAAATAGCACACCTCCACCCCGACCATTAGTTCTATCTTGTCAAAACATATTATAGCTGTGCATTTTTAATGTGTCAGCAGTTTTCTGTGAACCATGTCTGATAGGCATAGGAAGTCCAAATTTGATTTATACAGAAGATGTTGTAGTTGTTCACTTTTAGGAATACCTTTGAAAATTAAAATGTCCGTCTAATAACCCATTTGATGTAGACTAAGAGTCCCACAGAATGCGTGCCTGGTTCACTGATTGACTTGATTGGTGAGGAAGAGTTTTTCCTTTATACATGATTTGCCATGGAAGGTGGTGTGATGCTTGGCAAGATTACCGGTGTAGTTATGGAATCAGCTAAAAATTCATCCAGTCAGCTGGCTTCAAAGGTAAGAAAATTGCGGTTAACAGTAAATTCATGCTCTAATATCATCCAAGCCCAGAGAGTGATGCACATTCTCTGTGAGTGCTGCTGGATGATAACGATCTGGACCCACGTCTCCCTCAGTTGGCCCAGGATTAAGATAATTAAGATGTGACAAACAGATATCCACAATGATTCCATAGAGGTTTGGGAGATTTGCGTTTGGTCGTCTTTTTAATTTGTTTAGTAGTATTTGGGATGATTGCTTTTCCATTATTCAAAACGTTGCAATATGAAGTGAATTGTCCGAAAGAAAAA